CCGGGGAGGGAGGCGGTCGTTTGGATCGCTGCCTTCCTCTCCTTACCCCAGGAATCAGCGGCCAGCCTCTTCCTGCTCGCTCTGGTCACCCCAAACTGCAGGGAGGATCCCCTTGGAACGGGGTCCCTGCAGGGTACTGGGAGGGCTGGGATAGGAGCTGGGGACCTGGCAGCACCTGCTACCCCAAAGTTGGGGCAGGGGACAGGGAAGAGCCTAGCAGGGAGCGGTGGGAGATGGGGCTGGCTGGGCAGAGCTCTTGTCCCATCCCCGTCTCTAGAGGGAATGAGGATGCCATTTGGAAGCGAACACCGGAGGAAGCTGCCTTGGCACTGGGCTGCCTGGCAGAGCTCATCCCTGCAGCCCTGATAGCTCTGCTCCTTCTCTCTCTGCTGTCCTCTCTTCCCACCCTCCTGGACTGCTGTCTCACTCCTTTTCTTCACGGAGCACCACTGTGTCACGAAGCAGGCACTGCCTCTCCTCTTTCGCTGGCCAAGGGTATATGGACGTGCCCACAGCCAGCCGGTGGTGATGGCCCGGGGCAGGACATGCTGGTGGCTGGCCAGGGAGCGGCACCCACCAGCAGCACCTGTGCTGCAGAGGGCCTGGCTGCGGGCAGCGGGGCAGCAGAGCAGGATGGAAATGCTGAAGAGTGGGCTGTGCTCCGCGGGGACGCCCTGCTCGGCTGGAGGCTGGCGCCGTGCTGAAACGTCCATCTGTGTGCGTGTGTCTGTGCTCGGTGTGGTGTGCGTGGGTCCGGCTGCGCCTGGGTACGCTTGGGCTGTGTCTGCGTGCGTGGCTGGGTGTCCCTTGTATCCGCAGAGAGTCTGGCCAGTGCCAAAGAGGAGAACGTGGGCATCCACCAGGTCCTGGACCAGACCTTGTTGGAGCTGAACAACCTCTGAGCTGCCCCGGGGAGCCCCCGTCCCTCTTCCCTACCCCACACGTGCACCCCACTGGCACGCTCGGGACGTCATCAGCTGAACTGCGTCTTGGCCAAATCCACACATCCATTGAGAAGGGAAGCCCTGCAGCCTGACACCGTGGCTCGGGGGCGTCTTGTCTGTGCACAGCCTGACCGGCTCTGTCCTGTCTTCATGTCCAAATATTAAAGCAGTTTGACAAGATGGATGGCCGAGCTTGGTCCTTTGTGGGTGGATGCAGCCTCTGGGAGATGTGGTGGGGGTCTCCCTGCTCAGTTCGCGCAAGGAGGCTCGCAGGAGCTTGGGTCCAGGGTGGGTGTGACCGGCGTAAGGATGTCTTCTGCAGCCATGGAGGCTAGGAACAGTAACACACACGGTTTGCGCTGCGTTCCCTCATCTCTGCTGCTTCCTTGGGATGCACAGGAAACCTCCACATCTCAGGCTCAGTCCAAACTCACCGTCCTCTTCAAGTGCACAGTGATAGATGTATGCCACTGGCACGTCCCCTTCCACAGCCAGCATGTTACCTGCCTGGCAGCTGGGGAAGCCACGAGGTCTTTGACCTCCCCATGGAGTCTGCTTCGTGGTTCATGTTCATGATGCCACCCGACGATGCATAGGAGTGTGTGACCATGCACGCACGCAGTAGTTGTTATCAGGGCCTTCTCCAGGTCTAGGGTTAGCTGCTTGCCCTGTGTACTGGCTGCATTTTCTATTACCAGTTGCTGAATGCTTGCCTGAGGGACAGCTGAATAAACTAGCAAATATTAATGCATAGGCAACCGCTTCCCAAAGCGCTCAGGAAGTTTGCTCCTGGCTTGCTGTGTTCTCTCCAACACAAAGAGAAAAGCAGCAGGATGTGCCTCATCGCTGTCACCAAAACGGGCTGGATTTCCTGGGGATGCCCAAAGTCACGATCTAGTCCTGCCCACCGCTTTGGGCTCCTCCGTGGTGTGCGCTGAGCCCGTTTGTCCCACGCTGCCCGGCGGATATCCCTCTAAAAGCACAGCGTCATGCTGCCAGGAAACATAATTCACGCTGACCCCTTGCCGAGCCGGGGCATCACCTCAGTGAGCGGCCAGTAGGGATAGTTTTCATTATCTGCATTCCTTTATTTGCTGCGCCTCTCAGCTCGGGAAAGGAGGGTGGCGAGATTGCCTCTCTTTCCTGCCCAGGTGCTGCTGGCCTCCTGCCCTCCCCCTGGCCTGGCACCTCTGGTTTGTGGCTCTGAGACCTTCTGCTACAGGGAAAAGGGGCTCCCCTCGCATGGGGTGCTCATTTGCTGGTTATCCTCCAAGGGGGCGAGACCCGCCATAAGCCGTAGCCTCCCGCCCTGGACGTGCTGGAGGGAAGGACGGTGCATGGCTGTCCTGGCCGGCCGAGCTGGCCCTGCGCAAGGGCTGGAGCTCCTCCTCGGGTCCGCCTTGCTTCACCGCAGCACACCAGCTGAGCCGTTCCGTTTGGTCAAAGAGCCTTCCAGGCAGGGGCTTGTCTGGCTGCGAAAGGAACGGGAATGTAAAACCACCTTTTCTCTGGGAGCCTGCACCCCGCACTGCAGACAAGCCTGCCCTGCGCTCCTATCAGGGTGCGTCCCCAGCACCCAGCCTCCACGGCCCTTGCCTTCCTGCTGGGACAAAGAGCCCTTTCACACCCAGTGTTTTTCCCCATTAGCTGCTGATGCCTCCTGGTTTGGACCAGTCCCTTTAACTTAACTGTTTACACCCTGCTGCAAGAGCCTTTTTTTTCCACATTCTGTGGTTTGGCAGTGGGATCCTGGCTGCCGTTCCCCGATGTCGCTCTGCCCCAAAGACACGAGCCTATCCTTCACGGTTCAGCCAAGCTTTGCATCTTCTCCACCTTCCCACCCACCTCCTTCCCTCTGCGGCCCTGCAGAAGGCTGCAGGCTGGGGGAAGCTCTGGGAGGCCGGGGCACTGTGGAGCTGCTGGCAGGGGAGCTCGACCTGGAGGCATGCCTCCCAAAATGCGTCACTCTGACCCACAGTGAAGACCACAGTGCTCATCTCCTCCTTCCTCCCTCCCCCCTCCCTCTCCTGTTGAATTTCAACCTTTGGATTTGTTTATCCCGGTCTGACAGACCGAAGATCTCCTGGAAGAGCTTTCAGCCCTGGCGCGGGCTGCCAGCCCAACGACAAACCACCACACTAACCTCCGGCAGCCTTTCACCTCCACTCTCTTCTCCAGTTTTCTCATTGCTCTGGTGCTTCACCTCATCTCCAGATCCTTCCTGTTCAATACCTTTAAACTATGTGCTGGAGGGGAAGGACCACACAAAGAGCATCGCAGAAACACTTTGATGGGACGGAGACAGACCACTGCCACCCCCCAGTCCCACCCTCCATTTCCAGCATGAGACATTTGGGTGAGGGCGGGAAGAGCCGTGCTGCCGAGCTGTGGGTTATGCAGGGCTCTGGGTGATTTCGGAACTGGTCAGGCCACCTAAACCCGGGCGCCGTGCAAACCTCCCAGTGTCCAAATGAGTATCGCCAATCTGTTGACCTGATGCCGTGAAAAGCCGGAGTTGAAGACTCAATAGTCAGTATTCTTCATTACGGCGCCGGGCACACGGGGGCTCTCTCCTCCAAACGTGTGCACCGAAAGGAGACACAGTTACTAGGTGTTTATGCTATGTTAACATACATATTAATTACAATCGTTGGGGGTCTTGAGATCATCTTGCAGCCTCCTTATCTCTGTGGTTGGCATACCTGTTCTCCCAAGGCCTGAAGGGGTTATTCCAGAGTCTCTTCTCTTACAACCGCCCCCATTATTCACAAAGAACCAAGACTTGCCCTGGCTGTGGAACGACTCTGACCACCTGGAGTGGTGACATCCCCTACACATGCCCTTTGTGATGTTCATGGGTATCAGACCCCCGCAGCCGGAGGTCAACGCAGCCGGGCGCTAACGCGCAGCACTGCCTCGTCTGTGTAGGGCTTACGCACATCCCGCACCGGGGCCTCGGGGAGCCGGGCAGGGCTCGGGGGATGCGCGGACCCTGCCCCACACGCAGCAGGGCTGCAGCGGGCC